GTTACCTTTTCATTCAGTCCAAACCGTCTCTAACTTCTGAAACCCTAGCTGCCTTTTAATCCATGTCGCCTCCGCCGTGGTCCCCGATCGGAAATCGCCTCATAGCGGCGGACCACCTCTAAACTCCCCCAAATTAACACCGCATAATTTCATTTCCCTCCCCTTTCCAAATCCACAAACCGTTTCCATCAAACCCTTACCAAATTGCTCAAATCTTAGATCTGAAAGTTCAACCCCAAAACCCTAAATCACCCAAACGGCCCCAAAATCACACCCCCACATTCCTCACACTCTATGAACCCTAAACTACAATCAATTTTCCGAAAATCCCAGCAATTTCTTCGAATTTCAAATCTAAGATCCTCTAACCTTAATCTTGTACCCTTTATTGGTTTTTAGTTATAGTTTGGTCATTTGAACCCCAAACTTTCATTAGTCGATTGTTCTTGTTGACAACAGTTGATTAATGTTAGTTCAATGTTCATTTTACCCTTTCGAAGCTTGGTCAAGATTCGTTAGTTGGTCCAGTTTGGTTTAAAAACGAGTATAGGTAACTTCTTCCACCTTCTCTTTATTTTTCTTTTTTTCTTTGTTGATTCCTCTTCGTGTTTAATTGTTTATGTTTAACCGTATGATTTTAGGGTTTTTATTCTTTTAAACTGTTAGTTGTTTGTTTACACGTTGTTCATTAGATTAATCAAAGCATGCTAAGACTTCATTTCAATTTTGCATAGGTTTAGCTTAACTAGGGTTCTGGTGAATTGTTTGTTCTACCATTGTTTCCATTTCTCTTGTTTAACTGCTCCTCTCTTGTATTCTATAATTAAATTTTAACATGTTAATTCATAAATTGAGTAATTTAACTTCTAGGATTTCTTTGTGGTTTTTCCTCATAATTTTGGTTTGGTTATTGTGTGTTGATACCCAATATTTTCCTATATTTTTTATATATGCATAAATACCTTCAAAATAGTATATATATGCATATATAAGCATGCACAAGGTTTATATAATTTTTCCCATAATTTTAAGGATTTAAATTAATTTATTTCCTTCCTTTTTATTCATAAAATTCCCAATAGTTATCCCTCAAATTATTGTTGTGGTAATTTAGTCATTTAATTTCTATATTTATACCAAAATATGGTTAAAATATTTTTATGCATTTTTTATAATTGCATTTCATATTTTTAAAGCTAAATTGCATATAATTGTAATATTAGCCCATTTAATGTATAAATACATTTATATGCGTAAAATTGATCTACTATATTTTTAAAATATTAAGTATTTATTTTAAATCATTTTTTGTACACAAAATTATTTTTCAGAAATTATTTATTATTTATTATAAATGATATAGGGAAAATTGGCTATTTAAATTATAGCCAGATTTACATTTCAATTGTAGCCTAAATTAAACCCAACCCCAGCCCAATTTCTAACAAAACTACCCAACCCAGACCCTAAACCCGCCAAATCCTGGCC